TTTCTCATTGGATTTGAATCTGAGACCTCCTGATATTTTTGATCTTTAGAGCCAAGCTTAAACCAACCAGACACCACATTTGTTGTTTATATGTCCAACCAATTGTAATCATAATTTTTGTTTTCATACATATTTTGGATTTTATTTTTTAATATTAATTTTTGTCTCCCAATTTATAAATAATAAAATGTTACATTACCTTGCATATGCATAGATACACATGTTAGTATTACTAGAAGCATATTCGTAAAATACTGTTGATATATGTCGATTTTAGTGTCCCATTTTATTATTTGTCTCTGTCAGTTTTATAATACGATTTTGAGAAAACAATGATATTTTTATGCTTGAATAAGATATAAATTTGAAAATCCTATAAAAATTTGAAAAGAATGTTGGTTCCGGATGTGATGACAATAAATAGAAGGTAATTGTAGAAGGGGGGGGGGGGGGGTTGAATGCAATTACTCAGATTTTTTTCAACTTTTTAATTGTTATTGATGGATATCAAGAATTAGCACACAAAGATACAATACAGATTGTTGCAGAAGAAGGAAAAGATAACCTAACCTAAACAATCTTACATATAGAAGAACTTGCAAGAACGACAAAGAGAGTACTTGCAAGAAAATGAAGAACACTAAGGTTTCTTCACACACAGGAGAGTAGGTGAGTAGTAGAAGAGAGCTGATTGCATTGAGAATACACATAGAAATTCTTTCAGGAAGCGTAGTGTAACATCAGGCTTGAGCAAACCCCAAATTACCAATTTTATAAAATCTCCAATAAAATATAATTTACTGATTATTAGGACCAAAATTGATCCTANTTTTTTCAACTTTTTAATTCTTATTGATGGATATCAAGAATTAATACACAAAGATACAATACAAATTGTTGTAGAAGAAGGAAAAGATAACCTAACCTAAACAATCTTACATATAGAAGAACTTGCAAGAACGACAAAGAGAGTACTTGCAAGGAAATGAAGAATACTAAGGTTTCTTCACACGCAAGAGAGTAGGTGAGTAGTAGAAGAGAGCTGATTGCATTGAGAATACACATATAAATTCTTTCAGGGAAGCGTAGTTTGCATGGGAGATGCACTCTGCCTTCTTATACTACCTTAGGATAAGAAGACAAAGGTTGACTTGACCATAGTTGATATATCATTTTCATCGTATTCTGCGTGCATACAACATTGTTCTTGCAGAGACAAATCTATTGATAAAGAATGTAAGTGATTGACTTATTATGTTGTATTACATTTACTCTTCACATTCCAATCTTTTTGAAAATTCTGCTATATTTAAAACTTTTAATTACATTACATAAATGAAATAACAGAGAATATATGCTAAGAACAAAAATGGGCTAAACCAAAAATGATTAACAATCTGAAATTAAACCTAAACCATTAATAATTTGAACCTAAAATCAAACAATTAATGGTTTGAACCTAAATAATTTTGGCTATAGTTTTACACAGGTCGATAAAAAACCCTAAATACATGTAAATTTGGGCCCCAAAATTTCGAAAGCCCTGTTCAAAATCTCACATTTAACATGCTAAAAGACGGGAATACCCTTAATAATTAGCTTTGTTTATGCAATTCTTTCTCGAATAAGATTTTTCAAATACTACAAATTAAACTGATAATTATAAGAGTTATTTTATTAAACAGATCTCGTTTTTCTTATATACAGGTTAAAACTACAGCCAACAGAACGAAAGGTCGCAACGAATATATTTCTAAAATGTCTAGACTACCATTTAAGCCACATAAAGATATACACCGATACATATGTAAGGTGATATTCAAATGAGAGCCATAAAAAAGTTATAAACCTGTGATTAGCCAATATAAAAAAAAAATTACATGATTTTTTTTTCATCAAAAGCTATGATTTAAGGTATTGTTTCACATATGTTTGTGTTTACCTTGTGAAAAAATTACATGAGAATTTTTTTGTGCACTTGGTGAAACGAAAAATACACATAAACATTACAAAACAAATATATGTAAAACAATATCTTAAAATTCTATTATTTAATGGGAAAAACCATGAATTTATAACATTTTTATGGTTCTCATATAAATTGTCCCCTGTATATGTATATGTATATGTATATGTATATGTATATGTATATGTATATGTATATGTATATGTATATGTATATGTATATGTATTAGGTGAAGAAAGAATGGATAGAAATTACAAATGAATTATATTAAATTTGAAGTAATTCAAAAAAGGGGAATATTGAGGCCATGTGATCCATTTAATAGAAGTCATTAGGTTGCWTGATGAGGGAACATACTTGTTAACACTATCAATGGAAAACATTTGTTCAAGATATCCATATACACTTGGGAATAACTTGGGTTGCATATGGGTGGTAGGGGTGCTCAAAAACCCGATCAACCCAATGCGAAATAATTCAATTCGAAGTAACCTGATGTCTAATCGAGTTGTAAATTTTTTAAACTGTAGGTATTGGGTTGATATTAGTTTACTATTATTTGAACTTAACCTAACCCGATGAACCCGATATCCTTTTACTTCTTGAATTTAATATGAGTGTTGAATTTCTATTAATACATACATTAGATAATTACCCTATCACGTATGCTTTTCATATATACATATTTTCATTCTATTCACATCTCTATATAACTCATTCGTATATATGTTCAGGAACTGTGAACATATATGTAAATTGAGAAAAATAACTGAATATGATGTACGTAAGAAGTATGGATAAGTTGTATCAAATGATTGAGGATGAAAAATAAATTATGAGTAGAGAAATAACATATTCAAGGTTAGAAGAATATTTTTATGTACTAAAGTATCAACCCGACCAACCCGTACGGTTTGGGTTAGGTTGGGTTGCACATTGGTTTGAGTTGGGTTAAGATTTTTTAAACCGCTAGCATTGGGTTGTCAGTCTATATGTTTCTTGTTAACTTTTTGATAAAAAAAATAAACAATATTTGGTATTTTAACTCTTTATTACTCGTAAAAGACCATAACCAAGGTAGGTATACACTTACGTGAACTCTTACTGATTTTTGTACTCATACAAACGTTTTTAAGGTTTCAAGAATCTTGTCATCAATAGCGTTGCTCATGGATTCTATACTTCACTGGTTGAGTTGTTACAAACAACGAAACTACCAAGAAGTTAAGCTCGTTTGTTGGTTGATGGTTCACCGAATCATGCAACTCGTAATTTGGGCAACAGGAAGAAAGACGTGGTGTTCTCATAAACTAACTAAGGGGCGTTTGGTTCGAGATTTGGTGGAAATGGATCCATCGATGAAATTTGATTTTAAAGGAATTGAAATGGAATTTCACTACGCATCTGGTTCGATGGGATTGGAATGAAATCTTTCAAAAAAATTGGAATCTTCATCTTTGTTTGGAAGGAGTTGGGGTGGCAGTTGTGATGACGACATTAGTGGTCTGATGGTGGTAGTTAGGGGTGTAAACAAGTCGAACAACTCGAGCTTGATATTACTTATTCGAGCCGAGCTCAAATAACCTACTACTTAGGGGTGTTCGTGGTCCGGTTTAAGCATTTAACCTCCCCCCCCCCCCCCCAATAAGCCAAACCGCAGAGCGGTCTAGATAAATTTTCCAAATCAAGCGGTTTGGCAGCAATTGACCAAAACCGGTCAAACTAGACCATAAAAAGCAGTTTCATTTTCCCAGTTTAGGCAATTTGCGCCTTTTATAGGTTTTAAACTAAAAAAACATAATATTATATCGAATTTTAAAAGAAACGCCTATCTCTAAAAAAACATTGATGAAATAGAAAAAAAGTTAAATAAGTCGGAGTTTTGGACAATATCGAGCAAGTCGAAGGACGATTTAGAATTTTCAATTTAATTTTTGATGGATTTTGAAATTTTGTCAATTTAGATAATACGGTCAATTGAGAAGTGAAAACTAAAAACATATCGTCCTGGATGAACTTTTCATAACTGGCCCACAAAAGTTATTACTACAACATGAAAACTAAATATAATTAATACATGTATATTTTAGACGGTCGGTTCGATCCAGATTGCTCCAAATCGCAAACCAGACCAGACCAGACCGAACGGTATGGCTATTTTTCAAACTGGACTGGACCGTCGGATTGCTCAAACTGTCAATGATATGACTTGGTTCAACCGGTTTGAACAGTCCAACGATTTTTTTGAACACCCCTATTACTATTCGACTCGACTTGGTTTGGCTTGTTCACACCCCTAATGGTAACTACCACCCCACCCACTCCTACCTCCATCCCCTACAAAAAAACCCCACAATGCCTCGACCCTGGGAATGGTAACTGTGACAAAGACGACAATGACATGGTAGTCGACGGGGTGGGCGGTCAAGGGAGGATGGTGCCCCCACCACCTTCACCTCCGGCGGCCTGCCACCTGCCGCCCACCACCTATGGGGGTGGGTGATAGCGGAGGGCCCCACACCCACTCCACCCATAGGGTGGGTGGTGTTGCGGGTAGTTGTTGACAATAATGGCATGGTGATCGATGAGGTAGGGTACGTGGTAAGGGGCAAAATGGTAGCTGTGACTACGACAATAGTGGCATGGTAGTTGGTGAGGTAAGGTTGGGGGTGGCAACTTTAACAAGGAAGATAATGGCATAATGGCTAGTGGTGGACTCGAGTGGGGTAGGGTGGGTAGCAGTTGTGACGACGAAAATAAGGGGTGTGTGGGTGGGGGCATGATAAGGAGTGTAGGTGCATGATCATGGTTGGACAAGAGGTGGGCGATGTTGGTTAAATTGGATGTAACGAGATGGAATTCAATTCCTTCACTTATATCAAGGAATGATGAATTCTTTAATTTGTGGAATTCAACGAAATTCAAAAAAATCCTACACTTTCATCATGTGAACCAAACATAGGATTTGAAATTTGGTCAGAGGAATTATCCATTCCAATTCCTTCAAAATCCATGAACCAAACACCCCCCTAAGTTTTGGAATTCATATCTCGTTTAATATTCCAAAACCAAAGCTGGCAATTTCCCGTGTACCGGAAGCAGAAGTGCTCCCACATGATAAAAACATGACCACTCAAGTTGATTTCGTCATTTCAACAAATGGACCACCAGTTCCAAAGAAACAACCATCAACTTTTCGCTTAATGGGTCGACAATTATCCATCAATCGAAAGAAAGTAAAAGTCACCCTCTCAACTATTGTTTGCCTTCTTCAAGTAATAAAACCAACATACATATTATAAACATAAATAGTGTTTGTGCAAAAAAGGGTTTGTAACCACCAAGAGAATCATGTAAAATGCAAATCAGATACACAACAATACGTTAGGTGATCAGCTTAACAGTCCAATATTAAAAAGAATCATAACTCCCACACTACGACCGCCAGATTCAAACCATGCCTGTTTATTCAAGTATACCACCAGAGAACCAACGGTAAGAAACCCTACACCTTTGGACCATTCAAAGGTGCAATGCAAAAAGGTGGACCTCAACTCACTTTCCTAAGGTTATTTGGCCTTATGCATAAAGACTATTTCAAGACTCACAATGTTATTGTAGCATAGGAGTAAAAGATGATGTAAGGTTTACAATCTTTACACAGTATAAAGATACCTTTGCAACACACAGTTAAAGATGATGTAAGGTTTACAATCTTTACACAGTATAAAGATACCGTCATTTATTCTCATAAGATCCCAACTATTTACCTCTCGACTTCCATAATCATTGTCCTACGCATAACAGAAATCAGCAGAACCATTGTCTACTTCCTTTTCATTTTCGGTTTTCTGATTAGTCCAACTCATTAGAAACCGGGATGTTTCGAAAACCAACTTAAGAAAATAGAAAGGAAATTGAGAGCATCTGCCAAGAGGGAGTGAGGACCATCATCACTAGCAACCAAAAAGGAAGCTCTTTCATGGACTTGGGAGGATTCTATATATGTAGTAAAGAAGCCATGTGAGCCATATTTCACTTGATAGAAAAACAATAGACAACACAAATGCTATCACATAGAAGCAAGTACATTACCCCACTGACACATGATTCACCAATTGCTGATAGCAACACTACAATAACATAAAAACAACTCTTTAATACCTTCCTTTGTCTTTTGTTTCATTTACTTCTTCATCTACAAGCAGTGGTTTAGAGGCATGATTAGGTTGGTCAGGGTGTGTTTGGTGCACAAAAAAGGATGGGACATGAATGGAAAAAATAAATACTTGTTGTCCCACGTTTGGCATGAGATTACGTTGGGAGCCTGAGGCAAGACAAGACTTACATTTTTCCCCCACCAAAATAGGTGGAACCACCAAGGAGATGGAACAAAATTGGTGAATTATTAAACTACCCATGTCAAATTAAAATCCTAAAACCTTCCCAAAATAATTCACCTGCCTACCCCACTATCGTCTGCCAGTCCTGTCCACTCAAGTCCAGTCTTGTCAGTTAGCGTACCAAACGCCCCTCAAGGTCCAACCTAGTTGCAAAAATCCTATCATTTATGATTGAAAGATGTATGAAGCAAATTATGTGATTTCACAAATGAATCATGGTTTGTAAGACTCAACATACATTGTTGAATGACTTGTGTTCGCATATCGGACCATGTTATAGGATGATATAAATTTTATCCTAGATTCATCATTGTTCATTCATGATGAATATTTTAAAAACCGTGAGAACCAACTATTCTTGAATTATACATGATGAATATTATGAATAATGAAAATGCAAGATATGCATGACGAATATTTAGTTATATTCATCATAAATAATTGGTTTTCACAATTCTCAAAATATTTATGATTCTTAAACAAACTTTCTCCTTTTTACATATATCCCTAAACTCCCCAATTTCCATTAATTTCTGTGTACTTCTTAGAATGCTCTAAGAAGAAACTCATGCTCTATGTGAGTGTTCATTCACAAAATCAGCTATAACTAAAGAATAATGATACTGCATATCTGCTTCTTTATACAGGTAAAGCAGCATAACACTTACATTGGCCGAGTTCATTACACACCCAATAGCAAAAAAGTCTTACCCATGAGTTATGTAAGTATCATGATCCAGCAGAACTTCTTACTAGGCCCAGGAAGACAAAGTGACTCTTTGATTGATACATGCAGACATCCTGTTATTAACTATTACAAAAATATATTGATGAGTTATGATTTAACAACTTACAAAATACTTCATGCAAATCGGGTCCTTAAGTCTGTATCTCAGTTTTGATCCACCTACATCTTTCATTTCCGCAAACTCCCCATCAACTATTTCACATTTCCAATGACTAACATAAAGATAGTTTCATCTTTTTGTCCACTTGTTGGTTGAAGATGCTATACTCCCCTTATTTTCTACTGAATTTCCTTCTCTTTTAGTTACAAAAATGCAAGTGACCATTAATCCTAGAAGACAGCAGACGACCATGAGTGACCATCAAAATAGATTGTCAATATGAAGTCCTGACCTTCCTGTTAGTTCATCCTGAAGTTGAAGCCTTTGCAGGAGTAGTCTCACGCTCTACACGCAGACGTTCTCTCTGTAACAAAAGGATATCAGTGCCAAACATTGGGTTCATAGATACAAACAGAGATAAAGACCTATAAAAAACAAGGGAATTAGTTCTCTAGATCAGTCCCATGTGTTCAATTAAAAAAAATATGGAGATGTAGTCCTTTGAAATATGACTAAAAACATGCGTGCATGAAATATAACAATGAAGATATTATTTTGAACATGCATGCTTTTTTACATGCTTGAAATGGAGGTTTCTATTACTAATATGATTTTAATATCCAACTTTTAATTCCAAGGTTATTAAGGTGGGAATCAAATCCTCTCTCCTTTGAAATATAACAGTAATTGAATGTAAGGTGTTGTAACAATGATAATTTATATTTCAAAGTTCACTTTGCTTATCACCTAATTGTAGTGTTGCAAGTTAGGATCCCTTAGCAATTGCTTCTTTAGTTAGGTTGTTCCACTTATCCACTATAGAAATCTTTTTCACAAAAAGCAAAAATAAGGAAGACACTTTCTCCAGCATGGTCAGCTTTTGTGAGTAACCAATTTGTTTTTGTTAAAATTAAGGGGCTGTTTACCAAAACGCTTACCCGGTAAGCACTTACCGGTAAGAATCAACACTCTTACTTTACCGAGTAAGATTGTAGTCCATCAAAACGGTATCGTATGCAACAGTTTATCTGGTAAGCGCTTACTGTGTAAGAGTTGTAATCCTCACTTACCGGGTAAGACTCTCCATCCTTATCATCACTCTTACCGGATAAGATTCTTGGCTCTTGCCATGTTTACACGATAAGGTAAATGACTCGGTAGGCATTTATCAAGTAAGCGTTTAGTAAACGGCCCCTTACTTTTTCTTCCATTTCTAATGCGTGGCGTGTGGGGAGGTGGGATTCTGTACTTAAAATCAAGAAGCTCGGGATCATAAGGAAGCATCTAACTGAACTTACTCAATAAGAGGGATCCCCCAGGACTGTAGAGAAGACGTCTTGGAGTGTTGATGAAATGTGTGACACATGACTTGCCCTTGATCTTATTTAATCAATGATTGTCATTTACTATCCGTAATAGAATTATAACTACAGATTTTTTGGCAATTAGTGCTGATTTCAATTTTCAAGATTGGACAAAAGCAGTGAATAACTTGCCATGAAATCATTTCAAAGAACAATGTGGTCAGGCTTACCATGAAATTAGATCAGAATTTAAATCAGGTTCATATATTGTTAATGTAGCCAAATGTAGAAGAAGAGAACGAAAGAAGAAATCCAATAAACGAGAAGCCAGCTAGAAAAAAGACACTTTAAAAGAGGTAGGCAATTAGAAGGACGATAATAGTAAGCAACCAATATCAATTATCTTATTATTTGGATGAAAAATTAGAAAGCAATTGTGCAACAATGGCACAAACAAAGATAAGAACTATACCCTTCGCTCCCAATATGGGAGAAAGCAGACAAAATCATAGACAGGAGTGATTGTTGACACCAAAACAACATTGAGTCCAGTAAATAGCAAAAGTGCTGCCATAGGACGGGTTTTGTGTGGCATCTTTCTCTGTATTGAAGCTTCTAGCCTGCAAGAACCATTCCAATTTTGAATCCTGGCCGTTAGACAAAGACGGCCGTATCACATACGTTTATAACATTGAAAAAAAACACCGACACAATTGTAACATCCATCGACTCAACTTAGGTCGGTCCACAATTGTAGCTATATACAGAAATGTCAACATGTTGGTACATTATGAAAAAGGAGAAAGAAAACACAATCCACTGATCCCAGATTATACAAAATGGGTGGAATTCAATTCAATGCTGCCACTTGATGTATGTGAAAAGAAAACCACTAAGACCCTACACAAACTGACATTAGCCCGAGCGAAATAGAAAATAAGATTCAGATTGGTGAATAAAATTCAATGAGGATTTGGTTCATCCGACACGTACACGTCATGGGCATCTATGCAAACCATAGCAAATAGACATGAACTGATGTTAACCTTTGTTAAATAGAAGCTTAACCCAATTATCCAACAAATAGATGGGAATAACTATCTTCTAGTCCAGCTAGGGGATGATTCTAGATAGATCATCAGCATAACAGATTTTTGTAAACCGAGACCCATCAATATGGAGCCAATTGATAAAATCCCCTGATTAAATAATCAGAAGTGAACAGTTATTAATAGAGGTGACTACTCCAGTAAATAGCTCCCTGAGATCATCTTAATAAGTACCCATATCGTCATATCTTCAGCATGGGAAACCCCAAAACAAGCACTTCATGGTTTTGAAATCTCCAAGACCTCTCAGTATGGTTCTCATAGTTTATTTGTAATAACAAGAGGAAAAGACTGCCTTTATATAACCCCTGCACAGATAGTACTTTAGATGACTGCTTAATTGCTGGCACTGCTTTCTTCCTAAAGGCAGTGCACCAGAGGGTTAAGAAAGGACACATTCACTTTGTAACATAAGTACATAACAGGTGGAGTTTATATTACACGCTAGTGTCCTTTGACAAAATCAACTGAAATAGTGATGACTATGTCTACAATTGATGTTGAATGAATTGAAAATATTTTTTGACAAGTGATCAACAAAATCTACCACTTTAACTCTCTTAACTATCCAAACAAGAGGTTATCTGAAAAAATCAAATGACAAAGTTGATAACCTTATCACAAATAGAATAACACTTTGAAATGTAACTAAAACAAAATCAAAAACTGTACAACATGTTGCTTATATACTAAAATAGTACTTTTATCTAGCAAATATATCAGGATCTTCTATATAATATTGGTAAACAAGTACATTAGTATCAACATCTTCCTACAACTCCGAGGTAGTTGGATCTTCTATCAACATCTTTGTGTTTAGATTTATTTTTTGTTGGCTGGATGCATTTGTGATGATTGCGCATATCCATTGCACATCAGTCGGTATGGAAGTTGTAATAGCAAGTTTTCATGTAAAATCATTTCTAAGGTGGCTTCCTTTTATAGCAGATTCGTAAATGATTAAACACAGATGACATAGCTGGTGGTGCCCCTGGCTCTAACTCTTATGAAGGAACACTCAGATGATGATGGTTACTGAATAGGGATCCATTGGCTATATGGAAGATGCCATAAGCTTGTCAGAGAATATCTTAGACAAGTTATATGATTGGACCTACCAGAAAACCTAAGGATTACAGGTGCAGTAGGCTTTAACGGTGCTCAAAATCAATGGCACTGATCCTTTGCATCTGTGTCAAAAAGCAAGCTACAAACAAAACTGCCAATTGACAAATGAATCTGATTTATGCTACTATTTCAGGCAATGCCAAATGACACTTACATATGCAACTACATTGTTGATCTTGCAATAACAGTGTTGTAACGCCCCAAATCCTAAATGGGTGCCGTTACCTTCTTATGATACTACTAACTCTTGCATGTGAACTTGAATTCAACTTTATTTCTTTCATACTTATGATTACATAGTTCGAGCACTAGCGGAAACGTAACTCAATAGCTTAAAATACAACAAAATTTTGCTATTGATTAGAAGAATACTACTTCATCCAATTCCTCTTTACTCCTTCCCTAAGATACATACATGAAATATGTAAGCTGGAAGCTTTATTGAGTAGTTATGGCTTCATAAATAAACAATTTTCATGATACTTATCAATTTGTGATAACAATTCACTAAAACTCTTTATCATGCATAAAAATACTCTTTGAGATCTCACTTGCAACATGTAAGTATGCCATACTTGCCTTGAGGTTTGCTAACCCTGGGTCCATAAAGGCTGCCCATAAAGTCCTTTTGCAAGACATTCCTTTATCCCGTACGTTGGATGTTTATGGTCATGCATAACATGCATAAGAACTTTCATGCCTTATGTGTAAAACACATCATAACATGCCATCATACATATATCTTGGCTATATAAACGTATCATCATTTCATGTAAAGCAAACATGCCAAAACATCTCATCAAATTCTTCATAACACATAAAATACATTTATATAGCGTATATGTATCTCGGAAAATCTCATAACGTACTCACCCTGATTGTGCCTATTTTTCTTTGGATTTCTTACTTTATATAGCATATATGTATCTCAGAAAATCACATTACTTGTTCTTCTTGCTCTCATGGTTGTATTATTATGAGAGTTTAATACCTCTAATACCTCACCGCTTAAGATAAAAGAATCTTGACACATCATGCTTCTAGCTTTTAATTGTCATGCTTACTGTAACATCCCGTTCCCGGGGGTATCGTCCTTTGCCCTTAGTACAAGGTTATGAAAGAAACGTCATATCTTAAACTTTTATTTCACTATAATAGAGTTATATATGCGGAAATTTACAACTTATAATATTCTAACATCTTAGAAAGCAACACTTCAGCTTGTTCCTACTCCTTGATTCCTGAGATACATACATGAATACGTAAGCTTTAAGGTTAGTGAGTAGTTATGGTTTCATGATAATTTTTTTTCCAAATAGTTAAAATAATTCTTATAAACTTTCATGTATAAGAACATTTCTTTGAGATCTCACGGTTACATGTTAAGTAAACCAATTTCTCACGGGTTCTTTAACCTCGGGTCCATATAAGGGCTGCCCAATAAGATCCATTTGCAAGACGTACCTTCTTTCTATATCCTGTACGTTGGATATTTAAATGGTTATACTTAACATGTATAAAACCTTTCATATACCACATGTGCATCATGACATAAAAGGTGTATTTTGCCACATAATCATAACATAACTTTTATAAGAAAATATGGCAATACTCTTTCATGCATAAAACACTTATATATATATAGCATGTATGTATCCTAGTAAATCTCATAACGTACTCACCTTCATTATGCCTAGCTTTTCCTTTAATTCCTATCTTCAAGCTTGATTAGGTATAAAGAGAGAGATTTCTTATTTTTGGTATGGAACTAATGGTAACACTTCAATCACTATTTATAGGTAAATTCATTGTATTAGCTACTTGTTCTTCTTGCTCCCAAAATTGTACCCTTATGATAGTTAGACACCTCATTTTTTAGGATAAGAGATTACTGACACCTCATGCTTAATATAAAAGAATCTTGACACCTCATGCTTCTAGCTTTTATTTGTCATGCTTCTAGCTCTTGCTTGTCATCATGATTTTTGCCAACACATGCTAACTGGCTTGCTTTGTCATAAAGAGTAGGCTTGCTTTGTCATAAGATTTTTGTGGCTCACGTTGTTTGTTTATAAGTAGCTTTGTAAGCTACTTGTAAGCTACTTGCCTTATAAATATGATAGTTTAATAAATGCTACAACTGTTGGACTCTTTTAAGAGTACTTAATTTACTTACAAAATCTTGTATTTAAGGCTTAAACATTGAGATTTAGCAAATAAAGAAACTAGGGTGTTACACTTACTAGACTTACTTTGCCATCAATAGCTTTGCCAACACATACTTCTAGCCTTTACAAGTCATAACTAGCTTGTTCTAAATCATGCTTACTAAACTTGCTTTGTCATCAAACACCTTTGCCAATACTTACTTCTAGCCTTTACAACTCATAACTAGCTTGCTTTATCATACTTACTAGACTTGTTTTGTCATCTATTTAGGTTTGATTTCTCATGCTTTGTCTTGTAAGCTACTTGTAAGCTATTTGCATTGAAAATATGATGGTTTAAAAAATGCTGCTAATGCTGGAGCCTTTTTGGAGCACTTAATTTGATCATAGTACTTGCATTTAAGGCTTAAAACATTGAAACCTAACAAATATAGAACTAGGGTGTTACAAGTGTCACTCAAATCTCAAAAACTTGCAAGGATAGGCGCCACCGTCTAATTAACGTGGAGATTTTTGTTTCTCGAAAAATGCAGAGAAACAATCGATCATAAAATTAAAAACTAACAAATATTAGTGCTTCCATTGAAAATCATAATTCATCATAAACCCTAAAAAAATAAAGCGTAGTAGATAAAAATAAGAATTAGAAAAAAGCTGAGTAACTTACACATTGAGACTCGAGAGTAACTAGGACTTGGCCTCTTCTAACAGGCAGTCGATCAATTAGCCTCTAAAATTCAAGGATTTATGCAGAAAACCATCATGATAACAAAAAAAAAAAAGGGTAACTGACTAATTGTTTTCATGACGGTTTTCTGCATAAATCATTGAAGTTTAGAGGCCGAAATTAGGGGTTTAAAAGAGAAAAAGGGATGATGAGGTCAACTAAGAGGATGTTTACCAAAAAAACTTGGGTAAGCATACACAAGGTAAGAGGCTAAGAGGCTCTGTCCGAAATAATGGTTGACTAAGAATTTGTGTTTACCAAGTATTCTGTAGTAATTGTTGTCTTCTGTAATGAGTGTTGTCTGACAGAGATATGACTGTCTATATAATGAAGTGTTGAATGACATAAAATTAAAAAATATATAGAATTTAAATATATTTAGACAAGAATATATATTAAAATTCATTCATATTTTAATACAAGTAGAATTTCAAAAATCAATATGTAAAGGAGATTGTTTCCATCTTTTTCCACACTTATTATGCCATTTACCTTCTACACTTTTTAAACTTTGATCTAAATAGATTAAAACATGAACTAACATTATAGCCGCAAGCGTCATGTCTCCAAACCAATTTGTCTTTTCTACACGATTTAGCCTCACATTTCTATAATAACATAGCAACACATTGTGATCATTTTTATCAGACTTTAGTTGCATTGATCCCACCACTAAACTTGCAAAGCAGTATATCCCTTGCCTATATCAGTGATTCCCAAGTGTTCTGGTGACTTCTTAAGGCAAACTTTTGACCATGTCAATATGCAAAGCTTCCTTTTTTTAATCAGAATCAACTCATAAGAATCTCCTGCAATCCTGCTGACATCAGCAGTCAAGAACCAATTCTTGCATTGATTATATAGTAATTGTAGTCATAATTGCCATACTATAACATGCTTTTAAGATCAATAATCACAGGTTCCTCGAGAAATGGGAAGGCCTTTGCCTAGGATTAAAGAAAATCTAGTGCTTTTTTATATTTATTTATTGTTGTTGGTGTTATCTATTTGGTTTTCTTTTCCTACACTAGACAAAACTTGGCTTCTGTCCTAAAATTGAAGAAAAGAAGTTGAGAATTGGTTTGTGCTATAAATATAAAAGTTAATTCACATTCTTTTTTCAAACATTCTATGCTATCAGCAAACATGCTTAAACAAAACAGGGTTCTAATTCATTCCAATTATTTCAACATTTTTCAGGTGATTAAAGTGGTCGAGCCAGGATTTGGGACGAGGGGGAGCATTGAGCTAAAAAAATGACGGATGCATGTCGTATTATTGTCTACATCAAATGTTAAACTCCTAGAACTAGCTATATGTTTAAGGGTTCACCACCTTGATCTAATAAATTTAAAAGAACATCAATTTTCTGAAAATGGCATAAACAACTATAAATAAATCAAAAACACCAACTTTTAAGTTTTCATTTGCTGAAACTTATCTATAACGTCTTCATTATCCATGGCTGTTAAAACAAGAATAACGAAACATCTAAGTTCAAACAATGAAACATTTACTAAATACGTACCCTAGATTTCATGTCTTCATCCCTCTAATTGCAAAGAACAACAGTCAAAAGAATGACAGATAAAGATCATTTAATCTAATTGCAACTTGCAATACCGTGTAGACAATTGTTTTCCCAAACTCAGATGTATTTGCAAATTGCAAATTGCAAATTCCAATATAATTACATAAAGCAAGGAAGTATCAAGAAAGATGATTGCAAATTACACAAAACGGAAATTCGATAAATAAACCACACACACAGCAGGCCAGGAGGGAGATTATTGACTTACATAAAAGACAAACAAACACAAAACAGAAATTGTCAAAACAAAATTCTTGTTGATTTTGGAAATCGGAAATGATGATAAGGAAGCAAACAACCATAGAAGAAAGCAAAGATGTTGTGCCCTAAACTCTATAGAGATGCTTACCGAGGACTGTGGTGCGCCGACGTGGTCTAGTTCGCCTGTTCGGCGTATTGATCGGTGGTCCGATTTAATGGGTTATGGGTGCGGGTTTAAGGGGGGAGGAAGCAGGGTTTTGTATGGACCGACTCTTTGGGCTAAGATTTGGAAACATTTGAGCAGGGATTTTTGTAATATTTTCAACTTCAAGAATAAATTTGTAAATATTGTCGAAAAATAATCGTTCGTAAAGTTTTTAATAGAAGTTCTGAATGAATACTTATAATAAATAACTAATTTGGGTTATTTCTGTCATTTTCTGATGAGTCGGTTTTCTTGTTTTCTTGCTCAGACACATATCTAGGCACATTTTACATTAGTGGTTCAATTAGACTCATTTGAATCGTATTTAGACATAATTTACAATAACAGTTCAATTATACTCATTTGATTGACATGTGTCCTCTTATTCAATCAATCCCACTAATTTATGATGCAATTTATTTTATTCTTGAGTTAATTAATTGTGTGGTAACTGATTCTCAAAAAAATGGTGTTTATTTTTAAGTTTAAATTCAATTTATTGATATAGTTTCATTTTTAAATTCAATTTTATTCTAATGTTAACTCCATTTTATTCTAAATTCAATTTATTGAATTTTTTTACTTTAGAGTTATTTTAAAAGAACGAGTCTGAAGTCATTCTTCAGAGTTAGCTCACCCGAACTCTGAAGTTTGCTTTTTCAGACATAGCTCACCCGAACTATAGAGTCTGAACTCTGAAGTCTTCTACAAGTCTAAAAAGTACAAGTTTGAATAGTCATTCTTCAAAGTTAACTCACCCGAATTCTAAAGTCTTCTTTTTTAGACTTAGCTTATCCGAACTCTGAAGTCTTTTTTTCCAGACTTAGAAGTCTGAACTCTGATTTAGTGGGATTGATTTTATATACTTCAAAGTTTTTTCAAAAGTACAAGTCTGAAAAGTCATTCTTCAAAGTTTTACTTCAAAGTTATTTCAAGACTTGATTTCAAGAGTACAAGTCTGAAGAGTTATTCTTCAGAGTTAGCTCACTTGAACTCTGAAGTCTTCTTTTCCAGACGAAGCACCATGCAGAGCCTCTGGCTTGCCTACACAGAGCTCTGAAGTTTAAAGAGTTTTACTTCAGAGTTATTTCAAGAAAACAAGTCTGAAGAGTCATTCTAAATTTATTTCTAAGTTTCAATTCAATTTACTGATATAATTCAACTTGCTATACAAGCCGACTAATCCCAGAACCACCACCTGCTTTGCAGGTAGCCCGAAGTCACCGTATTTGAACTTTCATGGTCAGAGAATTTTATTTCTCTTTGAATTTGAACTTGGGACCTCCAGACACTTTTGACCTTTGGAGTAAATATCAATTCAATCGAGCACCATCCTTATGGTTAGAAAGCTTTGTTTCTTCACTAAATAAGGATCACGTGCTTCTCACGTGTTCCTTTCAAAATCTGTTCTTTTCATGAGAGGTGACACCATATCAATAAGAATACGTTTGATGCAATACAATACAAGAACTTATTGTGACGCAACATTAGACCGAGACACAACAATGACAAGACCTGATTGGGTCAAAGTCGTGCATCTTTTTTCCTATCCCACCAAAACAGGTCAAACAAAAATCAAGATTGGTAAATTAGTAACCTATCCTATTAAATTAAAACCTTAAGACTTTGCCATTATTGTCACATCCATCATCCGGCAAACAAGACCACAAACTGTTATATTGAAACCACAAAGGTGGTGCCTGGTTGGTTTGAGCTTGACTCCAAAGGTCAAAGTACCTGGAGGTCCCAGGTTCAAATCCAAGGAGGAATAAAAATCCCCTTGTGGCCACGCAGATTCAAATGCGGCGACTCCGGGTTATCTGCAAAGCAGGTGGCCGTCCTGGGATTAGTCGACTCGCATAACGGGTTGGATATCCAGGTTAATAAAAAAAAACTGTTATATTGATATCTCTAAAAGAAACTTGAACTCATAAAATCTAAGGGTTATAAGAATTTGATGAAATTTTTTATAATAACAAAACAATCCACTTTATTTTGTTGCTACTCCTACTTAATTAATTAATAATAGTAATTAGAGAGAGTAATATTTGAGTTACAAAAGCTACTGTACATGAAAAATTACATTCAACTTCCTTCTTCTGGTTCCGACGGATACGACTCTTACTGTTGCGGCCGAGCAAGCCAAAGAGAACTAAGGGCACGAAGCCGAGAAAAGTAGTCATAGATTGCAAGCAGGGCTCGTGCTGATTGTCGGGTTGTCAATATCGTATGCATTTGCTGTAATGTCTTTTCCCTCAAATGATCCGCCTGGATTTGCATCAAACGGAAAGTCAATGGTGAGACAAGTGCATGTACGATGGTTCCTAGAAATCCTACGACATGTGGAATAAAAATCCCATGTTCCACCAATCACGTGAAGCCACATTATTATTTTATTTATTGATCATTTTATTCTCTGTCATGATGAAGTGATGATGTGTCTTACATGACTGGTGGATAGGGAGGGGCCAGAGATTTTTATTCGGGGAAATTTACATAAATTGCCAAAATTGATAGGTGGTTTCACTTTTTAGCCGTTTTCTAACTCAAAATCACTTTTTATCCAATCTTTACATAGAAGGTTTACACATATACTTAAGGATTGGTTTTCGGCAAAAATAAAAAGAAATCCTTGCGCATATGGATAAGGATTCTTATTTTTTTTGCCCGAAAACCAATCCTTACTTTCTGCGTAAGGATTGACTAAAAAGTGAATTTGGGTCGGGAAATGGCTAAAAAGTGAAACCCTGTTTGTTGATTGGCTATTTCTGTCAATTTCCCATTTTAATCGTTCCAGAAAGGGTAGTGAAGTACAGATTGACTTTTGAGGTCAACAAGACCAACTTCCGACTCTAAAGTTGATATAATGTCACAAAACTTTCAAGACTACGTTAAACTCAAGGTTTAACTGGTGGAAGACCAAACGAACCCAGTGTATCACGTGGAGGTAGGGTCTGAGAGGGGTAAGACCTTGTAAAGGACCGTCCTTTAGGCATTAGGAGTAAATTATAGTCAAAGTAGCGGAAAAGAGAATTTACCTGGCGGAGAAAATTTTCGAGTGTACCCAACTTCCCCATAGCCATTGCCATTTGACCCATGTAGTTGGCCATGCCTGATGATCCAGCTGGGACAACGGGTGCATCACTGGACAACGTCTCCGCCAAAGATTGCTGCAATGCATCCATTCCTTGTGAAAGAGCTTCTTCTGCCTGCAGCGACGTTTGCTGCAAATGATCAATGCTTGCCAACTGCTGTTCCGTTAGCGGCTCCAAGTGACTCACAAGAAGCTGCATTCACATTTATCTTTTTTCAGAAGGAAGAATGCCAAAAAGCATAGAAGAAAGCAGGAATGACCTTCTCAAATAAAATCTTTGTAAAAGTGACTTTTATAGAAGCTAATTAACCCGAGGTTGTTGGAGATTGGGGGGGCTTGCCTTGAGTAGTTCAGATGAACGGAAACCACCGATCCACAGAAAACAGCGTTCTGCAGGTGACGTCCACATTCCGTAGATGATATGGAAGACATCAGCCTTGGCTGCTGTTCTTTTTAGCCGAAAAATGTCGTTGAAATGTGAGGTGGCGTTTTCCACTATGGATCGAAGTTCACCATCACTTCTGTATGAAGTAACTGCTGTCCTGAGCTCATTTATATGTTTGCTTTGCTCTTCCAACCATCGTGAATATTCTGCTACGAATGCCAAGGAACCTGTAGAATATCAGCGAAACAACTCATAGTTAATGATCATGTAACAGTCAATCAAGAAACAAACGGAAAAAAGATGGAAAACCCAAAAAAATATTCAAAATAAAAACCAAAACCGAACTAAACAAATCCAGTTTGTCCCACCCGGAGGTGGGGTTCATCACTGTACCAACACATAGCAGGAATCATGTCACTACGGTGTCATGGTGGTTTGCTACCCTCACGATCCGCCAGGTGTCATAACAATTTTTTTAAACAATATAAGTATAATTATGTATGGAAGTATATGAATAGTTAACTTTCACATGTATGCAAATTTATACTATCATCTTCTAATTTATATGGATCTTTTAGCGATTCCTCTTAATCTTGCTTAGGCAATTAGTAGCTAGGTCGCTCGACCACTTCCTCTTAATCTTGCTTAGGCAATTAGTAGCTAGGTCGCTCGACCACTTAGCCCTGCTAAATGCATTTTAGGACGCTGCAACAAAAGATGATGTAGCTATCAAACACTTAGGGATGAGTTGCATTATTGAACCACATGGGCGAATAAGCTCATTAAAGCACACTTAACTAACAAGCTAGTTTGACCATTTGGACATGATTAAAGAAGGTATATGCCGGGCTCAATACACAATATGCATTTATATCGACATATAAGCTTTTGAGGTTTACGCTCAAAGACCGAATAACTTTGGTGCAATTTTAGAAGGGAGCGAAATAAAGATGGGTAGAAGTCAACATTGGGGAGCAAAGAGTAGCCCAAAGAACAATATCAAGTATTTGAGATCTATGATTGAGAAGCGTAAGAAGGGATCTGGACCCTTGATCACCTTTAATCTCAAACCCACCCATGAATCAAGCTTGATACGTGGATTGATTCAGTGCATCTCATCCTAATGTGCATCCAAGGGTGGAGATCCCTTTTTACGATTATCACATTAACTCCTTCTCACCGGAACCCAACCCTAAACTTTCATATGCTTGCATAATTTAAACCTAAACACATTTTATTTATATAAACCACCTAATGTTTCCCCTTAATCCCTCTAGAAGATCACTCGACCACCTAGCTCTCCTTTTCATGTTTTTCAATACTGCAACAAAGGATTAAGCAACTATCAAGTTTCTTGGCTCTTAGATGATATTTATAACTTGTATTGATGCAGATTCAGTAACGAAATTATCTAATTGACACTCACCTTCCTCCGATGAAAATTGCAATGTTTGACAAAACACATAATTTTATGAACTTGTTTGACTACTTGCCTCCAATAATTATAAAATACAGCAATCTTGCACCAAACTTCATGGCATCAATAAGTAGTATCGTTTCTATGGTGTTTCTTACATTTAACTAGTCTTAGTTCTTTTAAACATTCGACATATCTCCCTTTCTTATCACAAGTTCAAGTCTTTCGAGTACTTGGTCTTTTTTCAAACTCTTCAAACTTTTTGGACAAGCTTTCTTTGTCACGGACACTTTTCACAAGCCGGGGGTCTTCACATAAACAACCACTCTACTCCTTGAGGGTAGAGCCAGGGCTGCATACATCCCCCGATCCCACCTCCAAGCGGGATAGTTTAATTTGGTTTGGTTCTGATGATAACAGGCAAGTAAAACTGATTATTAAGATTTATAAAAAAAAGTGCAATGTTTGTCATATATTGTTTGACACCAAAAAAATGTAAGCTGTTACAATTTTCATGGATCGGAGAAACTATGGAACTTTTTTTGTTTTGGTCGGGCACATAGGGTTGGGTTTTAAGTTACAAAGACTAGATATGAAACACATGATAGGCTACCTAAAGGACTATTCTCACGTGCATACACACAATGTCAATACTCGTTCTAGTTCCCAACGAATCCGAAACTGACTAAAGAAAATGCAGAATTTATACATACCATTCCCGCCATTTGGTTGAGACTGGTCACCCGAGTTTGAAATAACAACACCCTACAAAAATAAAAAACCATGTTCACAATCTGTGAAAAGATGAATCGAGAATTGTGTACAATAACTCCTCTTAGCCACACACCCACGTATATAAAAGCAAAAGCTAGGGACGCATTGCAACCCACACCTGCTTTCGAGCTCGCTGGACCTCCTGCTCTAGCTGGGTTAGCTTCATCCGACTATTCTCCAACTGTTGCACATATGCCTATATAATAAACATGAAAGAAAAAAATTAAGTTCAACTTACGGTTTTCCTTTTCTTCTGTGTCCTTTTTCTTGGTTGACAGTTATCTGGCACCTTTCGCCAATTTAGTCTAAGGGGTCCATGCAACCACCCATGGTATGGCCCCAAGGAAATGATAGCACCTAGTGGGGACTCAGAACCTTGGACTTGTGCTGCATGAGACACCGGTCTCAGTAACTTACCACTAGACTGACCCCTTGGTACTACCAACGCCTTCACATTTTTTAAAGTTTAATTAGACCCGCCTCTAGGGGAAAGTTCATTTAGGAACTGCAAATATTTTGAGAACCGTGAGAACCAACTATTCATGAATTATTCATTATGAATATACCTAAATATGAATGAATATACTGCATTTTCATTACTCTTCATGAATAACCGTCACGATGTTCATCATTATGAATATACCTAAATATATGAATATAGTGCAGTTTCATTATTCATCATGAATAACCATCACAATGTTCATCATCATGAAAATACCTAAATATTCATGAATATCGTGCATTTTCATTATTCATCATGAATAATTGTCCCAATTTTCATCATGAATAACCGTCACGATGTTCATTATGAATATACCAAAAATTCATGAATATTGTGCATTTTCATTATTCATCCTGAATAATTGTCACGATGTTCATTCACAATATGCGTCATGAATGGTTGGTTCTCAAATGAACCTGCCCCTATCAATAAACAATTAACTGTAACAAAGTTTACCTTTTTCCTCAACCGGCTCTTTCTGGCTGCTTCACGATTCTGGGCTAGCCGTCGTAATGTCTACAAATTTAATACAAAAAGTCAGGAAAAAAGTAACAGAAATCGGACAAGAATAACATACTGGGGTTGCTTATGTTTCAGTTACCTTTTGTTCTGGAAATTTTTCTTTTTGTTTGTCACTAGAACCAGAAGCTAGAAAAGGATTGGATGGATCGATATCAAACTGCAAACGGGATAACAACCATCTAAATCAAAATTGAATTCCATTTGTTGCATCTCTCATAAATAGCAAATTGATACTCATAATCTTCAAACACAAGATTTCTTGCTTACTCCTTGATTCTTGTCATCAGGGTCCATTTCAGTTGAAGTATCGGTATGCGGACTTCCATCGGCCAAATTAGATTCTAACCAGGCCTCACGATTACCCCCAGAATTAGAAACTTGATTCGATTGAGATCTATTTTGTCCTTGAAACATCTGAAACACAAAAAAAGAGGCAGAGCATATATTGCAGTTAGCATGAAACTCTACAACCTATGTTGCGAAGATACATGTATGGGGATACGGGTATGTAAGACATGGATACCATGTTTTGATATTATAAAAAAAGGGATGACACATGGGTGTTTTTGTGTATATATGTATGTGTGTGTATGTGTATAGGGGAGGTTCAAACGAGAACAGGGTCAGAGTAAGAACACGAGAACGCCTATATACAGGTGATTAAGGTACAGTCAAACCTCTAAGGTCATCAGGCCAAGCATGTGCCCCTGGGTCGGCCGTTCCTTAATCACATGTGACTTTTAGTATAAAACTACAAGTGATATAGGCGTTCTCGTGTTCTCTTACTTTGACCCTGTTCTTGTTTGAACCCAACCATACACACACACACACACAAGTCCTAAAACCAAAGTTTTCATTCTTTTATTTTTGGTTGAAACTATGAGACTTGTGCCATCAACAGTCAGAATAAACTTATAACATCATAGCCTCATAGGGTTGAAACATCAAAATCACCTTCTCATATGTACCAAACTGGAGATCAGGGTGGACAGCTTGGTCGATCAAACTTGTGGAGTTGTACACTGAACAACAACAAAAAATCATGGCGGAAATGTGAGTAACGATGATGACTATAAATGTGAAAGGAGACATTTGTTCCTAACTATGTATGATAAATGATCCAATGTCGCACCACATAACACACTTAAGAAAGACCTAACAGAACTAGGAATTTTAATAATTGAAACAATCTCCATTTTGAGATGTCCCAAACCAATTACAATATTTCCTTGAGTAAAATTTTCGACCTGAAGTATCTAAATGTCCATATCTTCACAAAATATTAACTATCACTAATATAAAACCAAATCAAACCAAACGAGCATGTATATCCACCCGGAGGTGGGGTCTGGGGGTATGATGTAAGCAGAACTGATCTCTACCAAAAGAGTAGAACGGGTGTTATTAATATCAATTTCCGAAATAAAAAAGTCCCCTTATTTTGTCATCATTGAAGGGTAATCGGGATATTTTACTATTGTTATAACATGATCACTATATTGAGTGTGCAATTTACAACATGTATTACATTTCAGTGTTGCTGCCACAAAATCTTTGGTGAATAACAGCAAATGCTTGCATAACTTAAAAACAAAAGGGAATGTTTCGGTAGTACATACAAGCATAACGCTTATTCCACAAGAATCAAGCCATTTGACTTGACATTCGAACTAACAGAGCCAAAGAAGCCCTTCCAAAGTAAGGCTTATCAGAAGAAAATGAACCACAAACATTTTTGTGATGATTATGAGGACAAAGAGGTAACTCAACCTCAAATTGTTTCTCAAGAGGGTCGTGCTAGATTTCTATGGGACATCCTAAAATGAAAATTATTGGGATTCTTGTAGAACAGAGGGAACAATAACTAGAGTTGCAAGTTCAAACCACTCCTTTGTGGAAAAAGTGTGGTAAAACAAGGTGAGTGACAAAAGGCATAATCTTGAGTCCATTGTTTACTGAGTTACAAAGAAAACAATAGGGTGAACATAAAAATGTGAACAATGATGCTTTTTTAACATTTTCACACTTCTAGTATGGCTCATGGCCTCATGCAGCTTTATGGGCTCAATATGATACTGAATCTACTCAACTCTACAAAGATGGATGCCCTATATATAGTTTCTAGCTTGCAGTCATATTAACTTTAACCTCAATAACACAAAAGTTAATTCGAAAGCAATGTAAAAGTTGCACCTCAAAGAATAAAAAACTACAACATTTTTATTAACATCAGAATCACCTCCTCCACGAAATCCAAGGGACTGCTCAGGCGCCACAAGATTAGAAACTCGAGAGGAATGACCAGTGTTCCCCTCTGTACCACTGATATAGATATAAGTTAATTAGAATCATTTTAAGGAATCCTTGAAAAGAAAAGCAACAAACACTTCATTCATCCAAAAGAAAGGAGCCCACTTTGATTTATGAGTGTATTTAATGTCGAAAGAACGATTAACAACATATTATGATAATAAAGCATATTTCAACTAAAAAGATAAAACCATTCTATCAACTCAAGAATCACAACCCGAAATCTTTCATCAATCATCATACTTGAGTAAATAATATAATTTGATTTAAAGCACTAATTTCATCCATCTAACCATAGCTAGTTCATAGAATCTAAGCACTTGAACATGAAATAGGTCTAAAAAGCTGCATATGATGAATCAAGATCATAATTGACAGAAAAAGGTTGAAACAAGGGCTTTCAAACTAATAGCTCAACCTTTTACATATTTCCAATATTTGGGTTTGATTTTAAAGATTATCTAAAAACTACCAAAAACCCTTTATAAGTTGAACAAAATCATCATATATTTCAACAAGTTTAAAACATTACGAGAAAACAGAGAAGAGATTACTTTGAATTCGAGATGGGTATCTGAGAAACAAAGCTAGGCATCGAGCCACCAACACTTGAATTAGCTTTTCCACCAACCTTCAAGCTTTTGCTACCCATAAATCACCATCTTGATATACCAATCCACAAACCATAAATCCCCAGAATTCAGAACACAAACGCATAACAAGAAACCCAATTCAAACACAACAAAATACAGATTAAAAAATGAAATCTGTATGCCTTAAGAACAAAACCCACAAAAAAATAACCTATTTTGATCCATAAAACCCTCAAAATAAACACCAAATTTACTTCAAAATCAGGTATACCCCGAGTCTCAAGAAGATTACCTCAATCACCCGTTCAGAAGGGAGACATAATTCGAAGCTTTGAGGATGGAAAAATGGATCTTGTTGACTTGAGGGCTCTTAGCTATTTAAACCAAGCAGACTTTTTTATTACTGAAAATATGCATATGTGTATGAAAAACGAACAGTCCCACTTACAAAATTTTAGCATCTTTTTTCTTTTTGAATTAAATATGTTCATTTGCTAAAATTCGTCAGACCCACCAATATTTCCAGTTTACTAATAAAATATAGGATTTAAAATATAGGATTAAATACATAAAATAATAATATATTTTTAAATTATTTTTTATTAAGACATTGTATTTTAAAAATCTATCCATAATAGCAATGAGTAACATATTATCTTTTAAACCGGTTAATCTTTTGACTTTTTTGCTTATGTGGTTTTAATAAGGTGATGTGGATGTCACACCATTTTGATAACTTAATTAAAATTAAAATAAAAACTTATTTCAAATTATTATTAG